CCCAAAAAATTGCTTTTAAAAAGAGATTCTAAAATAAAATAATTTTTCAGTAGATGGAAAAAAAAATCATACCTAATTACACCTCTGTGTAATTAAAACCTGTTGGGTAGTGAATATAAAGTCGACATTCAGCTACCGGGTTTTGGCGACGGACCACGTAATTTTGAACCAAGGTCAAGTGACGAGGACGAAACCTGTGAGCTGGCACCTCCATCTCCTAAATACCACACCACACCAAAAAGAGGACGTTTCAGCTTTCGACAGATTTAATGTGCATCGCTGCCCCACACGGAGTGTTTTTAGTTGTACAGGGCTCGAACTCATGACATGCCTGCCATGATCCAATACCTTAACTACTGGGCTGCCGCAGCCCTAAAAAATTCTGTTGTAAACGACACAACAGAAATCGCGTTCCTTTCAGAAGCGACAAATATTGCGGGCTCGACCGGGATTTGAACCCAGGAGATCTCGCACCGTAAGCGAGAATCATACCCCTAGACAACCGAGCCTCGTTGGGGATTTTAACCAAATATGTCAACTTTAGTGTTGAAAGCAATCTATTAACCAAAAACTCTGTAGGAACGTCTTGCAAAAAGCTTGTTCAAATACATTAAATGTGTCTACAGTAAAGGCATTATTGCATTTTTATTTTATGGTTTTGATATTGCTGTTACACTTGGATGAAGTAAAAAGAGATTTTCGGGCTCGACCGGGATTTGAACCCGGGACCTCTTGCACCCAAAGCGAGAATCATACCCCTAGACCACCGAGCCATGCCATTAGGTCCTGACCCAAGTATTCTTAAGAGATTCCAGGGGTACAGTAATTATAATTTCCCAGTGGATGGAAAACAAAGTCATACCTTGCTTACTCCAGGGTTATTAAAATTCTTTTGAAAAGGACACAAGAAGAACAGTAAACCGAGTTTTTTTAAAACGACTAAGCTCAATGGGCTCGACCGGGAATTGAACCCGGGACCTCTCGCACCCGAAGCGAGAATCATACCCCTAGACCACCGAGCCTCGTTGGGGTTTGTAACCAAATATATCAACTTTAGTGTTGAAAGCAATCTATTAACCAAAAACTCTGTAGGAACGTCTTGCAAAAAGCTTGTTCAAATACATTAAATGAGTCTTCTTAGCACGTAAAAGGCATTCTTTGCATTTGTATTTTTATCGTTTTGATATTGCTTTTACAGTTGGATGAAGTAAAAAGAGATTTTCGGGCTCGACCGGGATTTGAACCCGGGACCTCTCGCACCCTAAGCGAGAATCATACCCCTAGACCACCGAGCCTCGTTACGGTTAGTAAGCAAATGTGTGAATTGTTACTGTAGAAAGCAATTTACTGAATAAAAAACTCTGTAGGAACGTCTTGCGAAATACTTGTTCAAATAGAATTAAAGATCTTATTAGCATTCTTCGCGTTTGCATTTTTATTTTTTTGATATTGTGTTACATTTGCCTGAAGTAAAAATAGATTTTCGGGCTCGACCGGGATTTGAACCCGGGACCTCTCGCACCCAAAGCGAGAATCATACCCCTAGACCACCGAGCCACACCACACAAAATTGAACTAGCGTTCAAAAGAGATTCTGAGGGAAATGCAATAATAATTTTTCAGTAGATGGAAAAAAAAGAATCATACCTAATTACACCTCTGTGTAATTAAAACTCTGTTGGAGTGAGTGAATATTAAAGTCGCACTATTCAGCTACACAAGGGCTTTTGGCGACGGACCACGTAATTTTGAACCAAGGTCAAGTGACGAGGACGAAACCTGTGAGCTGGCACCTCCATCTCCTAAATACCACACCACACCAAAAAGAGGACGTTTCAGCTTTCGACAGATTTAATGTGCATCGCTGCCCCACACGGAGTGTTTTTAGTTGTACAGGGCTTTAAACCCGCCGACATGCCTGCCACGATCCAATACCTTAACTATGGCTGCCGACAGCCCACAAAAATTTGCTTGTAAAGACACAGAAATCCGTTCTTTCAGAAGCGACAAATAGGCGGGCTCACGGACTGATTTGAACCCAGGAGATCTCGCACCGTAAGCGAGAATCATACCCCTAGACAACCGAGCCTCGTTGGGGATTTTAACCAAATATGTCAACTTTAGTGTTGAAAGCAATCTATTAACCAAAAACTCTGTAGGAACGTCTTGCAAAAAGCTTGTTCAAATACATTAAATGTGTCTTAGCACGTAAAAGGCATTATTTGCATTTTTATTTTATGGTTTTGATATTGCTGTTACACTTGGATGAAGTAAAAGAGATTTCGCTCGACCGGATTTGAACCGGACCCTTCACCCAAAGCGAGAATCATACCCCTAGACCACCGAGCCATGCCATTAGGTCCTGACCCAAGTATTCTTAAGAGATTCCAGGGGTACAGTAATTATAATTTCCCAGTGGATGGAAAACAAAGTCATACCTTGCTTACTCCAGGGTTATTAAAATTCTTTTGAAAAGGACACAAGAAGAACAGTAAACCGAGTTTTTTAAAACGACTCAAGCTCAATGGGCTCGACCGGGAATTGAACTGGACTCTCGACCCGAAGCGAGAATCATACCCCTAGACCACCGAGCCTCGTTGGGGTTTGTAACCAAATATATCAACTTTAGTGTTGAAAGCAATCTATTAACCAAAACTCTGTAGGAACGTCTTGCAAAAGCTTGTTCAAATACATTAAATGAGTCTTCTTAGCACGTAAAAGGCATTCTTGCATTTGTATTTTATCGTTTTGTATTGCTTTTACAGTTGGATGAAGTAAAAAGAGATTTTCGGGCTCGACCGGATTTGAACCCGGACTTCGCCCCTAAGCGAGAATCATACCCCTAGACCACCGAGCCTCGTTACGGTTAGTAAGCAAATGTGTGAATTGTTACTGTAGAAAGCAATTTACTGAATAAAAAACTCTGTAGGAACGTCTTGCGAAATACTTGTTCAAATAGAATTAAAGATCTTATTAGCATTCTTCGCGTTTGCATTTTTATTTTTTTGATATTGTGTTACATTTGCCTGAAGTAAAAATAGATTTTCGGGCTCGACCGGGATTTGAACCCGGGACCTCTCGCACCCAAAGCGAGAATCATACCCCTAGACCACCGAGCCACACCACACAAAATTGAACTAGCGTTCAAAAGAGATTCTGAGGGAAATGCAATAATAATTTTTCAGTAGATGGAAAAAAGAATCATACCTAATTACACCTCTGTGTAATTAAAACTCTGTTGGAGTGAGGAATATTAAAGTCGCAAATATTCAGCTACACAAGGGTTTTGGCGACGGACCACGTAATTTTGAACCAAGGTCATGACGAGACGAAACCTGTGAGCTGGCACCTCCATCTCCTAAATACCAACACCACACCAAAAGAGGACGTTTCAGCTGACAGATTTAATGTGCATCGCCGTTCCCACACGGGGTTTTAGTGTAAGGGCTCGAATTGAATGGTTGATAATCCTTAACCACGGCGCACAGCAAAATTTTGAACGAACTCGCGTTCCTTTCAGGCGACATGCCTCGACCATTGATCCAGGAGTATCCTTCAACCACCCTAGGCCCTGCAGTCCTACCCAAAATTCTTAGTAATGTAAATCGACAAACAACCTTACTGAAACTCGCAGGTTAATCAAAATCTTTAGCCAAGGAACGAACGATATTGCGTGGTCGACGGGATTGAACCCGGACTCGCACCCGAAGCGAGAATCATACCCCTAGACAACGGGGCCTCGTTAGGGATTGAACCAAATAGTCAACTTTTAGTGTTGAAGCAACTATTAACCAAAAACCTAAAACTGTCTGGCAAAAAGCTTGTTCAAATAATAAATTCTTAGCACGTAAAAAGGATAGATTTTTATTATGGTTGTATTGTGTTACACTGATGAAGTAAAAGGAGATTTCGCTCGACCGGGATTTGAACCCGGGACCTCTCTGCACCCAAAGCGAGAATCAACCCCTAGACCACCGAGCCGTCATTAGGGTCCTTGACCCCAAATATCCCTTTAAGAGATTCCAGGGTACATAATTAAAATCCCAGTGGATGAAAAACAAAGTCATACTTGTTTACCAAAGGTTTATTAAAATCTTTTGAAAAGGAACAGAAGAACAGTAAACCGAGTTTTTAAAACGACTAAGCCTAATGGCTCGACCGGGAATTGAACCCGGGCCTCTCGCACTCAAGCGAGAATCATACCCCTAGACCACGAGCCTCGTTGGGGTTTGTAACCAAATATATCAACTTTAGTGTTGAAAGCAATCTATTAACCAAAACCTCTGTAGGAACGTCTTGCAAAAGCTTTTCAAATACATTAAATGAGCTTACAGAAAAGCATTCTTTGATTTGTATTTTTATCGTTTTAATTGCTTTAAAAGTTGGATGAAGTAAAAGAGATTTCGGGCTCGACCGGGATTTGAACCCGGGACCTCTCGCACCCTAAGCGAGAATCATACCCCTAGACCACCGAGCCTCGTTGGTTAGTAAGCAAAAAGTGTGAATTTTTACTGTAGAAAGCAATTTACTGAATAAAAATCTGTGGAACGTTCCTTTGAAAAAACTTGTTCAAATAGAATTAAAGATCTTATTAGCATTCTTCGGTTTTCATTTTTATTTTTGATATTGTGTTACATTGCTAAGTAAAAAAAAATTTTCGGGCTCGACCGGGATTTGAACCGGACCTCTCGCACCCAAAGCGAGAATCATACCCAGACCACCGAGCCAACCACACAAATTGAACTAGCGTTCAAAAGAGATTCTAGGAA